AGATGTGCATTTTATCAACATAACCATGTTACTTTTATTTGCATTATTAAACATAGCAACATACATTTATTACTCAATTTAGCATGTTAATATGGCAATTTTTATTACTAAAGTTAATAACTTTATATTTATATAAATGCACGTTATAGATATACATTATACATGTTTGTTTTGTAATTCCAGGGTCTGAATTGAAAACCATTCTGCACATCACAAAGGATTAGCCATTCATCCAGTAGATCTGAAATTAAAATGTGCACATTTGCACTATGCACTTTGCACAAACTTTGTGACATTTGGAGCTATATGTGGCCTTACATGTTAAATGGCAATCGCAAACCTTTCCACAAACCTTTTGAAAGGGGAACATGTACTGAATTCCCCCTCTAGATTGTTCTGTGTTTATCACACTGTGAAACCAACTAAACCCCGACATATTTATAGACCTGAGAATGGAAACACCCACGCACTGATTCTTCATTACTGATTGATTAATGCATCGTCACATGGTCTAAACGACACAGAGCAACAGATGAGTATCTCACATTTCACCCTAAAATACAATTTTATTTTGCATAGAGCAAATCTATCTATCTATCTATCTATCTATCTATCTATCTATCTATCTATCTATCTATCTATCTATCTGTCTGTCTGTCTGTCTGTCTGTCTATCTGTCTGTCTGTCTAACTATCTATCTATCTATCTATCTATCTATCTATCTATCTATCTATCTATCTATCTATCTATCTATCTATCTGTCTGTCTGTCTATCTATCGGTCTGTCTGTCTGTCTGTCTATCTATCTATCTATCTATCTGTCTGTCTGTCTGTCTGTCTATCTATCTATCTGTCTGTCTAACTATCTATCTGTCTGTCTATCTATCTATCAGTCTGTCTGTCTGTCTATCTATCTATCTATCTATCTGTCTGTCTGTCTGTCTGTCTATCTATCTCTGTCTGTCTAACTATCTATCTGTCTATCTATCGGTCTGTCTGTCTAACTATTTATCTGTCTGTGTGTCTGTCTATCTATCTATCTGTCTGTCTATCTATCTATCTGTCTGTCTAACTATCTATCTGTCTATCTATCTGTCTGTCTGTCTGTCTATCTATCTGTCTGTCTAACTATCTATCTGTCTGTCTAACTATCTATCTGTCTGTCTATCTATCTATCTATCTATCTATCTATCTATCTATCTATCTATCTATCTACCTACCTATCTATCCGTCTGTCTGTCTATCTATCTAACTATCTGTCTATCTATCTGTCTGTCTATCTATCTATCTGTCTAACTATCTATCTGTCTATCTATCTGTCTGTCTGTCTGTCTATCTATCTGTCTAACTATCTGTCTATCTATCTGTCTGTCTGTCTATCTATCTATCTGTCTAACTATCTATCTGTCTATCTATCTATCTGTCTGTCTGTCTGTCTATCTATCTGTCTGTCTAACTATCTATCTGTCTGTCTGTCTATCTGTCTGTCTATCTATCTATCTATCTATCTATCTATCTATCTATCTGTCTATCTTTCTGTCTGTCTGTCTGTCTATCGTTCTGTCTGTCTGTCTATCTTTCTGTCTGCCTGTCTATCTGTCTCTTTCTATCTATCTATATGTCTGTCTATACATTCCACCAATCAAATTGCTTGTACAAGTCATTTTATACATTTTATTATAAGTTGAAAATTATTTTGATTAGTTAAATGTAAAAACAAGTTACCATGACTTACTGATCGTATTTTTTGACAGTGTATAAATACATCTTTAGTTAGTTTTTCATATTCTCTGTGTTTTTATCATGCTAATCTAATGTCACACAGAATCTCCACTGCATCCATTGCACAAGTGTTTTGTGGTGAGGGATTTAGCATGCTCATAGCCTAGCTAGCAGTCATACTGTAGTTAACCACATGCTGGACTTCACCAGCAGGCCAACAGACACAAACAATCTCCTTCCGCTCCCACTCACTTTTACGTTTATGGTCTCTACAAGCGCATACTGTCAAATCACCAGCGTGGGCTGAGAGCGGTCAACCACTCGCTGTCATTTCGTCATAATTGTGGAACACGGTAGCCACATTGTGACGTAAAATTAGTGGGTTAAGCTTCAGGTTTGCGTTCATCGTCTGCCAGAGGTTGAAGGATTTGTGCTGACGTAACCTTGTATGGTGTATAATCTTGTGAACCACAGAGAGATGTGACGGCTCAGAACAGGTTGTGAGTCCTCAGAGATTCAGACTGACCACACGACGGAAGAACAACAAGTGAACTGAGTCAGACGCGTAGGCTTTCATTGACAGAATTCCCCTTAACTAATTAAACAATGTCTGAGGCAAATAATGCTGATCCATAATGAAAAATCTGTGACATTTACGTTTATTTCCTTGAAGGTTTCTTAACAGAATGCAAACAGCACGACAGGAAGCAGAGAGTTTAAAACACATGCTTTCCCCTGTCATTTATGATTGTCAGATTGTAGAGTATGTGGTGCAGTCAGACTGTTTTAACATTTGAATGTTTTTTCCCAGCTAACAAAAATATGTTATAAGAACATTTTGCTAATTTTCCCATTAGAGGGGAGGTATAGTGCCCTTTTCACAAGATGCAAAATAAGTCTTTGATGTCCCCAGAGTGTGTATGTGAAGTTTTAGCTCAAAATACCCCACAGATATTTTTATATAACATGTTAAAATTGACCCTTTTTGAGGGTGAGGAAAAACACACCGTTTGTGTGTGTGTCCCTTTAAATGCAAATGAGCTGCTGCTCCCGGCACGTAGTTGATGAACTAAAATGTTTTTTTGAAAACAGTTCCATGAACAATATATAAATAATGTTTTTTAGAACATTATTGAAGACCAAATAACTTTGAACAAAAGTTCTATTAACCTTACTGGAAGAACGTTTGATCATAACTTTTAGAAAATCTTGCCAGAACATTTTGTTTCCTGATACCTGAGTTACATTAGCCTGTTATTGCTAAAGCTGCTGCTGTTAGGGTTATTAACCCCACCCCCAATCCTTCCCATCACCAACCCCAACCCCTGATCCTACCCATTTCCACCCCTTAGATCTGGATCCAGCTCCGCCCCCTGGATCTCGTGTACTGCAATGAGGTGCTACTGGAGTTAATGCCAAGTTTTTTTGTGTGAGTTTTTTTTTAAAAGCAAATGAAAAAGTGAAGGCTATTTTGAATCATAAACAGTACTCTGTCAGAAAAATGCGCAAAAAACAATTCCCCTTAGGCCAGCCTGTCACTAGGGCAGTACTTTTATCTTATATATCTTTATATTTTATACATATATCATTGTATATACTCCATAAAAGGTGCATTTTAGTATCTTAGAGTATTATTGTGTACTATTATGAACATTTATTAGTAAATAAGGTACAAAAAATATCCCCGTGACAAGCTGTTGTACCCCTAAAGGTAAATTTTTGCACATTTGCATATCATATATTACAGAATGTCCTACTGTATTATCAGATGTACATGTCTGTCTTGAATTTTCTGAAGTTTCCTCAACTGACTTCAGAAAACAGAACTGAGGTGGGTGGGCCGAGCTGTGATTGCAGTAATGTGTACCTTTCTCAGGAGGAAACCAGAGACTTTGAGTCAAAACTGGGATTTTACAGTCACCACAGTGAGGCGGAAGACATTCTGCTGGCATCGGATTACAGAGCCTGTGGTCACAATTCAGATATAAATATTGATTTCTTTGAGGAACACACCCAAGGTAAAAGCATTAAACTCTTCCAGAGTCCAAAAGGATTTAAATGAGCAACATAATCTGCTGCTGTATTTGGATATATAAATCACAGCAGGCCTTAAAGGATTAGTTCACCTCAAAATGACAATTCCCTGATAATTTACTCACCCAATTGTCATCCGAGATGTTCATGTCTTTCTTTCTTCAGTGGAAAATAATTTTTTTTTTTTTTAGGAAAGCATTTCAGGATTTTTCTCCACAATATGGACTTCAAGCACAACCAACATGTTGAAGTCCAAATCAATGCAGTTTCAAAGAGCTATGAAGTGCTTTAAACGGCTCTGCACACTCCCAGCTGAGGAATAGGGTCTTATCTAGCGAAACCATCATTATTTTCTAAAAAAAAAAAAATAAATAAACATTTATATACTTTTTAACCACAATTGTTTGTCTTGTACTGGTCTGCGTCGCGCCAGGGATTACGTCATTACGCTGGAAACGTCACGAGTCACGTCCATGCATAGGGTCACGTCATCTATCTAAATTATTTGTCTGTGTACTCTGGTTCAAAAAGGCAGGGAAGGGCAAAAAAAATTCTTTGTTTTAATTTATTATTATTTATTTAAAAAATAACGTGACGTTTCCAACCTGGTGACGTCATGCCTGGAGCGTCGCCGACCAGCATAATCTAGAAAATTAAAAAAATAAAATAAATAAAAAAATAATCTAGAAAAGTAGCTACCATGGGAATAGTAAAAGTATAACTTCTTAAACATGAACAATATTGATACCATTTATCCATCTTATTCTTAAAGTAAGAGCAGGCACCGCCATTTATAACATGAATGTGCCAGGCTTACATTTTTATTTGTAAACACAAAACAACATTTCCACCACGAAGGGAGATGAAATTAGATGAAACGTCAAAATTATAACTTATTAATAAAAAGTCTTAATTATAAAATAGGATTCTAATTATATTTATGAGAAAAAAAGGGGAGACGTTTTAATTGTATCGTTTTATGCAATAATTATGACGTGTCATATTTTCGATTTATGAATTAAGATTGACCAAACGTGATTTTTTTTTTTTAAATGTGGGCTTCCTTATTTCACTGATTTATATTGCAAACGGGTATTTGGTATTATTTTAATAGTCGTACGCTACACATTGGTTTGAAGCTGTTATTTTTACAGTTAGCTCATAGACGCTCGCACAACATAGAAAACAGATACTTCCGCGTTGCAAAATAAAGTGGATTATGATGATACCTTCGGTAAATGAAA